TCTAGGGCTTGAGCTCTCTGCCTCGCTTGCAAATTTCAACTGTGGTTGATACGAAAACCGGAAGAGTAACACTAACCAATTTCTGTTTGAATTTCAATTGACTGATCATAATCATCAATACACTGCCTAGGTGATGAGACAGGGTTTAAGTTTCAATATGCCTAAGTGAATTATTGCCATATTCTTCGAGGGAAAATTTTGTTGTATGTGATGAATTTGAAATAAAATACTAAATGCCTTTTAGGAAGACAATGTGCACATGCATATTCGGAGCTTGTTATTTTGTTACATTGAACCTTCTATATGTTGAATTTCTTTTTAGAACCAGTTCACTTTATTAGACTCTGGTTTTTATTTCTTCTCCTTCATGAATAAATTATATTTTTTTAAACCTTAAATGGTTTCATCTGTGGGTGGGAGAACCTTTCTCACAGAAAATATCAATATTGGGCTAGAAAGAAGATCAGGAAGAAGTTTTCAAATTTAAAAAGAAGAATTTATGCTTCAAATCTAGTGCTGAATCCATTTTTAAGAGTTATTTAGAATTATTGTCTGATCTTCTCTGTGGACTACCCCTCTATTTGGCACTCTATTTGGCAATCCTATTACAATACCAAATGGATATGCTTTAGAAATGTAGAGTGTAAGTCTATGGATTGCATCTATGAAAGACATGTATTTTCTTCATTAAATGTGATATTTTCTAGTCCATAGGGAATCAAGAGTAACGTCAGGACCAGCTGGCTGGTTGTTTTTGAATCCTCAAGAAAGAAAATATGCTATGTGTACAAGTAAGTTAAACAATTTCTTCCCTCAAATCTTTTATTTCAATCATCAAAGCAGGGTAAAATACACGGACTGTGGACCATAACCTTGGAAAAGTTTTTGTCGCCGATACATACTACATTGTTTTTCATGGAGGTAGCTGCACTTGTTGGGTGTTTATTAGTGACCTCTGACATTTTGTTTTTGAAATTGAAATATCTGTACCAACCCTGGTTTTGGTCACATCACAATCATGAAGAGTTATATCGATTCCGAATGTATAAATCTGATCATAGAAAAGACTGGAAAGTGTTGCCACTGGTTTAAATCAAGGGTGGGCATGGTTTGGGTTTCCAGTTAAATAAGTTCAGAGCGTGTTTGGATTCCAGTGAACCAATTACAAGATTCAGTTTTAAACATATGAACTAGTTTAGTTAGTAGACTATATATATATATATATATAGGCAAACACACACACATACAAATATTTTACACAAAATCGTACTTTATTAAGTAATTTTAACTGTACAGTCTGATCAACTATGGTCACCTTGCTCATCTAGGCAATTGAAAAAAGAATCTCTGTCTATTCTCAAATACCAATTGAGAACGGTGAGCTTATGCAAGTCTTGAGGTGAGAATATGACTTATTTTTTCACTCTATCTGAACATTTGTGGGTTTGCTAGTATTAAGGCTAACGTCTGCAGCAGCACAGGTACGAGAAGAATCAATATTACAAACCTCATCATGACTATTTTTCTGACACTGTAAGTTGTATTTGCTCTTATTTTAATTTTCAAATTGTAGTCCACATGTGCATTTCCTTGAAGTGGCTTCTTTGAAACCCTATTTGCGACCTGTTCTGCCTTTCTTTTTCTGTGACAGTTCAACTTGAAGCGTGGTGGGCAGCGAATAGCCACAATGCTTATGTATTTTGAGTGACAATGTTGAAGGAGGAGAATACATTTCCCATTCGGTAAGCTTCTGTTTTACTGAAATTTGTTTATGTCACTGATTTTGGGTAGTGTTGTGTACTCTTTTTTTTTTTGTGAGACACGGAATAGAAGTATGCTCAAGTTTGTAACATGATAGTATTAGCTATCTATTCCGGTTAGGTGTTGCGCTACTGTATCGTCACCTTTCGGACATTTTGATTGTACTGATGACTGTTTTATATATACCAATATGATTCAGGCTGGTTACAGGTGAATGTAAAACTGTGGGTGGGAAACTTGTCCAAGGGCTATCTGTCAAGCCAACTAAAGAAATGCTGTGCTTTTCTGGAGTAGGGTAGTGGCAGTTATTTTTTTTTTTTTTTTTTTATTTGTTATTATGGACTACCAGTTAATTATGAAAGAGGAACAACTATTTCCATAATTGTTCTAGTACTTTTATGTGTCTTTAAGATTGTACCTTTAGGCCCAAGAGACAGAATATGTATTTGATCATCTGCAAGTGCATGTGTCACTGGCTAAAGAGTCCATGGTAATCAAATAACCATTACTACAAAAGAAAATTACCAAACTAATTAGTATAAGCATAAGGCGCAAAGAGTAACCATAGTGTTTAAGTGATAAATTCAAGATTACAAGAACCAATCTACTTTTTCTATGTAAAAACAGAGTTTAAGAGTAGATTCATGTTTACCCCTTTTTACCCATTGATTGGTTTTGAATGATGGCTCCTATCTGGGGCCACTGGTTATATGCCTATCCCATCGGTTAATAAACTCATCCAAGACAAAGGTGTAAATACATAAACCAATTTTCACAACAATGGTCTTATCATTTGGGTTTACCCAAATCAACATAATTGTTGTTCAAACTACTAAGATCATTAAACATAGATTGATGGAAACCCCCCATGGCATTTGGGAATCTATCAACTTCAGTATTTTTACAACTAAGAAATCGTAGAAAACCCAAGATTAGCTATATCTTGGGTTTAGCCAACACAAACAGAAAAAACAGAGGTTTAAAGTTAACTGTTGAAAAGATGTAAGAAGATAAATTAACTCAAGATAAAAGCAAAAGAGAGAAAATCAAGTTCTTCAAGAGAAAACACAAGATAAAAGTCGTTGAGAAACCAATAAGCCGAACTAGAAGTGTGTTGGAGAAGCTAACGAAGCTCTAAATACATTGATTTTGAACATCTACTAATCTAACTTCCAGAGGAAGCATCTACAAGGAAGTTAGACAAATAATAAAAATGAAATTCTCCTGTCCAATTGGACGTCTACCTTTGTAGCTTTTAGGGGAAGCTCGCAGGTTAGTTTGGGAAGTTAATGAAACCATGATTTCTTCATTAATGCCTCTATCCCCATGAGCTTGAATTCTGAATCCTGATCTAGGAGCATGTTTCCTGTTAATGATTGGCTTTTACCAACAGGAGAACTAATTTCCTATAGTGAAGTCTACATTAAAGAAAGCTACTCCTTAGTTTATATTTGGTAAAGATTTCTCCCACATGATCTCAAACAAGAAAGAATATTATTTTTTACTCAAGAATATTCTCGCTTTTTCTGATTTGATGTATACTTCTTCCTAACTCCTCTTCAAGCTCCTTGCCATAAGTTTGGCTCTTGTTAGTCTGCCTTTAGTAGTATCTGAAATTGTTGAATTCTTTCTTCATTCTCTTTTTCTTTGCCATAGATCTTGTAGTGACTCCTTGCATGTTGTCTACTCTTCCTAAGCCTCCATGTCTCTAGTGTATTTTTTTCTGTATCATCTTTTATGCATCTTAAATTTACACATCACATATTCTTGTTTTTTATAATTGAAACAACTATCTCTCTAACCCAACATTTATAAAGCTCTGTTTGATATAGAGGAGAGAATAAAATAAATGAAAATAAAAAGGTTGAGTGACTATAGATGAAAAATAAAGTAAAAGTTAAAAGGTGTTTTGTTGAAGAGAAATAGAAAGAGACGAGTAGTGAGATGGAGAGAACGGAAATAGAGTGGAAAAGTAGTATAGTGACCTACTCAATTTTAGTGTTCCCTTCCTTTTTTTTCTTTCCTACCAAACAAACAAAATTAAATTCACTGTCGCCATTTTCATTACTACCCCTCCTTTACCAAACATATCATAACAACTTGTATTGAATGATCCCTGCTTCCTAGTATTTTCTTAATGTTAACATTTTTTAATTACATAAACTTAGTTTTGTAGCATCTGACCCCTAAATATACAAGCCGGTGCTTAATAAGACGCTTTTACCATTACATATTGTCAAGAACCGGTGCTAGATAGGAAGAACCAGTATAAGAATGAAGGATAGAGATGCCTCTATAGGTTTTCTTTTATATATATTTTTTCAATTTGTACTCATCATAGGATTTAGTTGGTTTATCAATTGGGCATCGCGTGGTATTTTGTGATAGAAAATGTCAATGGTCAGGCTATTGCATATGGAGACTGTAACTGTTAGTATTTTGCATTTTTTCAAACGAAGATTTATGGTGAAAATTTTTGTATTTGATCTTGGCAGGGATTGGATGGTCAATCAGATCCCAAAAGTGTGCATGGAGGATGTGAGGTAATCTCTGGGGAGAAGTGGTCAGCTACGAAGTGAATGAGGCAGAACCACTCCACTCTTGATTTCTTATCCACCGTCTCCTGCAAACAAAAATTCACTAATTTGGATCTTGTCTTATAAAAAATAATGATTAAGATTAGTTATTGATATTAGAAATATTCATTAGTGTTAACTTAAATTAATAAACTGCGGCGTAATCTCATATTAGATGCTCCAGGTATTATGTTTCTGTTTAACATTTTGTTAGGTCGGGATGTTGATTCGAAGAGACTGACCTAAAGATTTCTCATTGAAATATTCGTAAATGGACTAAATCTTTTTTATCCACCTTCATAATCCCTTGACCCCTTCTACACCATACCATATAATTAGGCTGTTAGCCAATATCACAACCAAAGGCTACGATAAAGGCACCCGAACCACTACATTTGAACAGTGTATTATTTCCCATAGTAAAGAAGTTGTGTTTCACAATTTTTTTTTTACAGTGAAGACAACATTAATAACTCTTCGATCATGTTTTCCAAGCAAAACTTACCCATTTACATAATAAATTCAAATTGGTCATTCAGGTAGTTTCAGAGAGAAATTACGGATAAATATTTCCTCGAAAATGGTAAATTTTCAAAAAATTACACGCTAACACCAATAATGACATCATACCAAAAAAATAGGGGCATTCGATTAATCCCGATAATCTACACAAATAAAGCACCTTCTTAGTTACTTAGAAATGTGTTTTTTATAAGTATGAACCCCACTTACAACAAAATTGTCACTCTCCCATGGTTAAAGGCAACGATATTCCGTTGATAACAAATACGTCCGTCATTTGAAGATAAACGGAATTGTAAAAAAAAATTAATAAGCTACATGCCTAAATCAAAACATGAGATGTTATGTATCAGGAACTGTATGCCCTTGTTTATGTTTGTCCTTTAAACCATAGAGACAAATACGCAGACCACCCTGGATCATCGCTTCATAAAAATAGTTCTTGAACACTTCCAGGAATTCATCCCTGCCAATCAGTTATATGTACATGTACCAATCAGTACCATCATCATCAGCTTCTAAATTTATGCAAAATCTTACAAGAGAGACGACAGCGTTACTTATAAGTAGAACAGATAGAAACCACGACCAAACCTGACTTGTGGAAGGGTCAACAACGAATACCCCTTTACATCAGGATGCAAATCTAGCACCAGTACTTGCAACCTTGAAAGGTCTAACGCCTCAGCGTCAATTAGCTTCTTTATCCTGAAATTCATATATGACAAGAATTACGTGACTAAATTTAACAATGTCAATACTGCTTATCAAAAGTATATCCAATCAGATGGTCAGTAAAAAAGTACAGTCTTCTTTAGTAGCAGGGCGAGGGATTACCAACCTGCTTGGAGTGCCGCCAGCAATGTTAACACGGTTCTTTAACAAAGAAATCTGCATTGATCATAAAGCAAAATCAGTTGGTAATGTTTCCACGACGAAGAAGAATAACAATTTATAACATCAAGAAAGGGAAGGAAAAATCAAGAAGTTGGGATGAAAAAGAAACCATGCACCGGTAAAGAACAAAACATTCAATTTATACATAGAGAAACATATTTAATTTTTTTTCAGAGTACAAGGAAAAGGGAGTTAAATTTAAAGTTTTAAAATTAAAAATGCGAGCAGTTTGGTCCCTCAGCCACATGCCTATGAATTGCTGTGTGGCTTCACAACTGGTGCATAGGAATTAAGAAGAATTTACAAGTCGAAGTGGAGGGAAGCAGAATTAAGAAGGTACCTGTTCGTGAAGCTTCAAGTGCTTTGCGAATAGCTTCGCAGCGTGGCATTGTTTAGTGAAAGAGCGAAAGCCCCTGCAAGAGAAAATTAGGGTTTTGGCATGCAGAAGGAATTAGGAATGGAGATAATGAGAGAGGGAGGGAGAAAAGAACCTGAGAAGGTGTATGCATCTTAGGGCAGAAGAACTTATGATGAGAACCGCGGGGCTTCCGGGATTAACTTTTCCCTCTACGACACTCCCTTCGCAGAGATGCTCCCTCCACGAGGAGCCAAACACTGCCTTAACAGTTTTCCCCAATATTTGGACATCTGAGTGATTGGGTACCTCCAGAACGCAGTCTTGTCTGAGGGACTCCAACTCCAGCGACGAAAGCTGAAGACCCATCGCCGACTGAAGGAGACGCAGTGCCTCCGATGATCGTTACTGAAATCTCTTGGGATTACTCCGCAGCTCCTCCTTCAGTCTCTTCCTACTTCTTACTCAGTCACTGTTCGCGTTTTCCTTTCTTTTCCGACGCACATTCACAACCACACTGCTCTCTGCTTTCTCTCTGCCCTTAATATGACATCTATTCACCTTTCTTTGCGCGCTCTTCTTATCTTTCCCCCACCCCTACATTTTCATTATGGGCCTAGGTGTGTGTGGGAGCCAGATAATGGATATTCGACAATTCTTTTTGCACCTCCATGATTGTCAACCGTGATTTTTGTATTTGTCTTTACACTTTGGTATGTAATTTGAAATATAATTTTGTATTTAATATTATTATATATAATGTGGTGCGATAATCTATTTTTTATTTTATCTTATAGAATATATTTTGGTTTTAGAATGTAAAATCTGAAATAAAAAATATATATTTGAAATTATGTTAATAAAGATTAAATTTGTGTTAATTTTGTTCAATTTTTTTTATATGACAATTAAATAGTTAATGGTATAGGAAGTCGACACTCTTTGTATAATGTGTAGTATTTTTTCTCTATCATCATCTTCGTCTTCCGATACCTTTTTCCTCCATCACCATTATCCAACTTCATCCACACCAACATACATCTGTCAAGCTGTTGAAATTTTAATCGTAATGCAATGAATCATGTGTCTTAATTATATTATGAATTTTAATGTATGGCAATATCGTTAAAAAAAAATTAACATTTGCAACCTTTTCAATTAGAAACAACCCATCACAACTCAAAATATTAATATTTGAATTAAATCCTTTATTTTTTTTGCTTGAAGGACAATATAGAATTACGCACTAACAATAGGAAGAGGGTTATAAGTAGCAAACTTGATCATGTCTCGTAACCTGAGGTCTGGCCTTCAAGTCCATCCCATATTGGGTATGTGCATATGAGAAAACTTGGCCATGTTAAATACCTAATTTCTATGAAAGCTTTAGGATTTACCATCAAAAACTCTTCTTCGTTCATCTTTTCCATTATGCATCGATCAATTCTCAAGTCCTACGAGTTCTTCCTCAATCATCCCATTCTCATGCAAGTACGACGTTATGAGTGTGTTTGTTTCACCCCTATCTAACTTCGCCTGCAGTTAACACACCAGGCCATCCCAACACAAATAACGTCAGGTGATCATAAAACAATCTGCAACAATCAATTAAGGTATTAATAAAACTATGGTTACATACTGCGCAAAAAGGAGGTTTGCAACATCATGCAAATGTCTGAAAATGAGTGATGAGGAGCGAACAATGCCACGAAAATAGTAAGTAGTGGAGAACGTGTCTGGAGATCTCTTCTTCTTGCTGTTGCATAAGAAATAGGAAGGAACAAGCAAAGTACACCGGAGGAAGAAAAATGATGCGCTTTTCCATTACTGCTAAAAGTGGAATATCGTGTAGGTGACATTTTGCTTCTTGGAGGATGCTTTGACACAGTCACCCACTGTCACAGTCACAATTTCTTACTTATCGTACATATTGATAAATGGATAATTTACCAATTCATAAATCAGTACATACAGATTTTGCTAGATAGGAAACGTTGTCATGCCCAGTTTCTTTAAGGATGCTGTAAGTGGTGTCGTTGACAGCGTTGTAGAGTGCTAAATAGCACAACTTCATGTAGTCTGGAAGAGTATTTATGGCATTCATGTCCCATCTGGAAACATGTAAACGCAATTGTGACTACACCATGTATATAGAAAGTTGTAGCCAGATCAATGAATATGCATGAGAACCTTTCAACAGCATCGGTGAAGAGCTGCAGTTCTTCCAAAGTGCCGTAGACATCGTACACATCATCGATAATGGAACAGACCAAAAAACTATTTTGTGATCAGCTTTCCGGCATTCACTTGGACGAGGATGAGGTGCCATCCCACGCCCACGAAGATTACCTCTATTATCTGGACTCTTACAAAATCATAGGCTCTTGTCCACCCTCTCAGTCACCACCTACTATTATTATTACCGTTCATGTAATTAAAGCTAAGATGTATATATATATATACAATTTATTCTGAGATAATCAGTTGAAACTACCTTGACAGTTCTTGCAGTTCTTTTTGGTGCTCTGCTTGCACCATATTGAAATCTAGCTTTGCAAGCTCCAGTAGTAACTGGTGGTGGGGTTCCTTTGCTTCGTATCTGTCAAGATGCCATCGTGATTCTTAGTTGTGCCATTTCTGGATAAGGAAGTCAAGTGCATGGTAAATTGTTCTTCCAATTGCTGGTATACTCCTTCTTCTAAGATTTGCCTTGAGTTGTGTACATTTGAAATAACATTGCCTGGAAAAGAGAGTTTCTCTCAAGCAGAAGTGGACGCCTCATATAGACGCAACACCTTGAAAGTCATTCTTATGTGTTCAACATTGAAACCTCCTCTGTCCTAATCTCTTAAAACACATCTGAACTCATGTTTTTTTCTTTGTTTTTTTTTTTTTTTTTTTTTCTTCTTTTTTTTTTTTTTCCTTTTTTTTTATCTTTTTCTTTTTTCTTTTCTTTTTTAACTCGATAGAGATAATAAAAAATATGTTAATGTGTGTTTGGAACTATTAATTTGTAGCATTGGGAATGAGACACTTGGGATACATGAAAACCTGTGTATAATAAACGAAACCGAGAGCAGTAGCATGGAGTCCACTTTTATGTTATAATTTTATCAACAGAACAAGGTTGTCACAAGGCTTGACTTGTTCCTTCTCAAACTTGTAGGTCAATCCTAGGACGTGGGACATGTCGATATTCTAGTAAGCCTCAGTGGCTCTGTGTCACCCTATCATTCATAAGTCGACCTCTTCCTCGCAGCTCTGTTGCTCTTTAATTAAGTTGTTTACTGAGTTTCAGTTGACATAACAAAACCCAGATTGTCACCAAGTAAAAGAATAAAATTGCAAATTGGGGTTAGCAAGACTTTTACTAAATAAAAGGTATTATTAATTTAAAAAGTGAAAAAGAAAAAAAACCTGAGGTCATTTCCAAGAGATTGGTAAGAGTGAAATTTCCAGAGGTTTGGCTGGTAATTAGCGGAAGTCTCGTATTATAGGGGTTTTATCTGAGAGGTGTGAGCACAATAAGTGATGTCCTAGGTTTGGATATGAAGAGATGGTTGTGGCTGAAGTTGTTATTTGAAATAACAGTAGTGGTGAGTGTTTGATGGAGTAGGAAGGACAGAGAATCTGAGTGCCATGATAACAAGTGAGATGGTTGTTACAGATCGATCTCTGTCTAAACACTACAACCCCAACACCGCTATCGTGAAAGTTCTGTTGTGGGTTGTGGATCCATTTTATAATGGAAGAAGGAGAAGGGATGAGATAATACCACGACCAATGGTTGTGGAGGTGGGGACACAATGCATGACCATTAAAGTTTCCACGAAACATATCATAACTCTTCATAGTTCGATGTTAAATACCAAAATGACAACAATAACACCTTTAACCAAAACTTATTGCAAAAATTACATTATGAAATAAAATCTTTAGTGGGTGAGGACGAGCGGGCTAAGGGAAGGAAATGTGCTGCAAGTAATTTCCGTCAATAGGAGTGGATTTATACTTTGACTTTCACCAAAAACAAAACAACTGGGAGGAGAAATAACAAGGGGAGTGAAATAAGAAAGCGTCAATCTCTTCAAAGTTGGCGTCGCGCTTCTTACATATGCGTTAATCTTTAATATTGAAAAGGAGAAGAAAAATACGGGAGTGTGGAAAGGAAATCAACAAAGTAAGAAAGAGGGGACACAAGAACAAAAGAAATATGAGGACTGACAATGTAGACGTCGGGAAGACGGGGGAGTGGCTTATGCATCCTTATAGACTGCAACGGAAACCTGGCAGGTGGAATAGGGAGTGGGCGACCGGTTCCCCTAATCAATGTATTTTATTCCGAAAAGAAAGAGAAGGAAAGAAAGAAGAAAAGGAAGCGAAACTTTACTACACCATATTAATTATCTAGATATTTATATATTAATAGATGTCTATTGGGAGACACTGTATATTGTTGTGATTGAAAGTCCTACATTCGCTAGAGATATAAGGTCGTAATCCTTTCGCTCATAAGTGGATTGGATACAAACCTAGTCCTAAAGGAGTTTGGAGATTGAGTTAGATAGTTTTAGATTTTAAAAAGTTCACTTCTAAATGATATTAACTCAGGGTTAGGCACTACCTCTCAATTTATTTTGAGATTCGGAAAAACAAATTGTTTTGTTCTCTGACACTATAACCGTGCTTTAGAAGAAGAAAACCCAGTAAAATATACAAGCAATACAACACATATCAAATATAGTTTTAGTTTATAAAATAATTACTCTACATTTATCATCTTAATAGTTATGAGGATGTATGTTAGATTAATTTCGTTTTTATTTTTTTTTAGAATGGATGTTTTTTGTTGTTAAAGGGAAAACATACAGCAAAACTGAGGAATAAAAAGGGAAAATAATAAGGGAGAATGTGAAAGGTGTTATTAAAAAATAAAGATTTGTGGTGGGAATTTCATTTGTACACCTATTTGCTGAGTGTTGATTTGCTGACTAACGGAAAAGAAAACAAACTTTAATTAAAGATTTTGTTTAGAGGGGAGGCAAAGTAGAGCAATAGGAAATCATGTTATGGCTTTTCTTTTTAAAAGTAACTAAAGTAATATAAGAAAAAGAGTTCAAATTAAAAGATAGTTACAAAAAAAAACCAAAAAAATAAATAAAAATTTAAAGTCCACTTTCTGGAAAGAGAAGAGAAACTTGTGGATAGTGTTGGAAAGTTCTAGTTTTTTTTTTTTTACAAAAAAGAAGATATTTAGTTCGTTGTTTTAGAGGTTCTTTAAACAGATAAAATAAAACTTTTTTTAACAAAAATAAAATTGTCCAACCATTCAGAATGATGAAATATTTTTAAAACTGAAATATTTAATAAAAAATTAGGAGTGGATGTGCATATCTAATAAAAAAACGAGAGAAATTACTTTAAGCTAATAGTTCAAATATGCGATGTGAAGGGTGGAAATATGAAGGTTTGGTAATTATAAATGGTGGCTGTGAAAGATTAAAATTTGTACGGATGAAATTTATTATATTTTTTTCAGATAAATTATATGTTATCTTGTTGTCGTAGATATTTAACCAGACAATTAATGATTTAATAAATGAAACACGATACGATTAGATTAAGTACAATAAAACATCTGGTCATTATAAATTGAGATAAATAATAAATTTCGATTATAACAAATAAATTTTGAATAATTCAAGTATAATAATTAGAAAGAAATTTTTTGAAAACAAACAATAATTTATATATTATATATATATTATATATCTATTATATATTATAGAATAATATTAGTTGCATAAAGTGATAAAACTCTCGTATCTAAGCAAACTTTAGTAGGAAAAAATAGTAACTTAAGTTAACAACATAGCTCACCTTAGTATAAGACATGTTAGTCTCCGAACAACACATCATATATTAAATAAAATATTGGATGTGAAAAGGAAACTTCCAAATAACCGCGTTCGTGTTAAAAATTGATAAATCATTTCTAAGTTTAATCACTATGTTTTAAGAATTTTTATTAAACTCAATTAATTAAAGTGTAAATTGGATTGTATTTTCTAAAAATTATTATGTTATGTGAAAAAAAAGAAATTAGGCAGTATTTGTGCAATGTAATGATTAAATAAATTAAAGTTAAAGTTTAAATTAAAAAAATTCAGATATAATTTTTAAGGGTATAAAAGGAAAAGACTTCCTAATTCATCAATCTTTGTGAGTGTCTTTATTTATATTACTTCTTATTAAATTTTTTTAGCTGTAAGTATTTGTAATAATCGTTTGATAATTAAGTTTTTTATTTTTCTCAAATTAACAACATTCTTTTTTAATTGTCGACATGAATATTAGGAGGGCTATACTTTCTTTATCTTAGATATACGATGTCTAAGTGAGCTCCCACAAAGAAAGTGAAACAAAGAACAGAACGGGTCTGCGAATTTATTTGTGGATTTTGAGTGTGTGATAGTTTGGACTTAACGGAGACACAAAAATTTTTATCAAAGAATTTGTGATTGTAGGAGACAGAAGAGTGAACGTACGAGGTGTCTTCTGTTCTTTTTAATTTGTTACAGTCATACAATGAGTTCCGAAATAAACAAAACATTAATGGTGTTGCACCTTTTTGAAAAGAAAAACAGTGGGGATAGTGTAAGTTGTTTAAGTTTAGTCGGGTTGTTAAAAAAAACAAAAAAAAAAAAACAAAAAAAAAAAAAAAAAAAAAAAAAAAAGTATTGCAGATGCTAGAAGTTAGCTTTAAAGTATTATAAAAAAAAAATATTTATTAACAAAGACAACTTGTCAAATATTTAGGGAATTATTAAATATTGAGAAATGCACACTTTTTTTTTTCTTTGTAAAAAATATTTGATAAGAATTAATATATTATAAAAGTAAAATAAAAGATGACGCATGCATTAAGAAAAAAAATTTAACTTTAACTTTTGTTAAAATTTGACGTAGTGTTGAATTAAAAATTTTGCATTGATTAAGATTTGATGAAATGATTATGGATTTTTTAATTATGAGACTTGGCTAATAGGCATGAGACAAATGGGTGGGACAACCAAGAGATTTGGAAGGAAATTAATAGTGCGGGGCTAAAGACGAGTGTGAACCGAAATATCAAATTGTGAATTGAGAAACATAAAATTACAAGCAAATGTTAGTATATTAATAATTAAGGAAATAAAAATCCAATCTCCAGTTAATTAGATCGAATATGGCAACTGGAGGGCTAATAAGTTCCAGCACCAAAAATTTGAATAGTTGAACACTTAGAGACACATATTACAAATTTAAGAGGCAATAGTATGTGTTAAAATTTAGTATGCTCGATGCGGAAAGGGTGGGTAGTTTATAATGTTATAATATTAAAAATTAGTATTATTCTAAAATATTTATAAAATAAACGTAAGAGATAATATATACTTTTTAAAATAGATTTAAAGTATTTATATAATGATTCGGCAAAATTGACGAACCGTTTATATTCCTTATTATAGTAATGAGATGTGAGTGAGTGGTTGAGATTATAACTCTGAATAGGTGAATCAATTTAAAATTACGTTGTAAAAAGAGTTAGTACTTAGTTTGTCTAAACAGTAAATATTAAAAGTATACAAGTTTAATTTTTTTTAGTACACATTTTTTTTAATATAAATGATAATATTGGATTAAAGAAGACTTATGAAGATATTTTAATTAAATAAAAATATAATTATTCGTGACTAGGAAAACACAAGTGCTTTGATGTGAGATGAGAGGTGGCTTGGG